CACGTGATGGCGTCATTTGGCGCGTTAACCTCCGGCCGGCCGGTCGCCATGTCGTCGCCGGGGCTGGTGGGGGATGTGTGGGGCACGGACGAGTCGTGGCGAGGTGGAACGTCGGCGTCGACGTTGACGTTGACAGCGTCGTCGACGTATTTGTCAACGTCGGTCTCGGAGACCGGCCTCGCGGGCGGCGTCTCGTCGAGGTTGGACTCGGAGGTCTGCGGAGAGATGGGCGGTGGCTCCTGCCAGGCGTACATCTTGCGCGCGGCCGGAGGACAACAGCTGGTGCCTTTTTCGAACGAGTTGGAGAGATTGCGTGGCAACAGTTGGGTCGTCAGCTCGTTGATGATGTCGGCGAACTCTCGCTCGGACAGACGGTTGCGATTCTTCGCCGTCTGGTACACGCTGAAGATGGTCTCAGGAGCGGGGCTGTCGTGGAAGCCGTTGACTGCCGTCTCGTCCAGCCTGGACGCAGTCGCCTCCGCGCCTGCGGCGTCGTAGTAACTGTGCGCCGGTTGCCGGGCGGATGTACCCGTCTCGGGTTGACTCGACGCGACGCACTCTTCGGCTCGACTCACCGGCTGCTGGGCGTCAGGTGTGCCGAGATCGAAGGAGAGGCTTTGCACAAAGAAGGCTCTCGACTTGACGCCATGCTCGATCGGAGCAGCGGCTACCGTCTCGTTTGCCACACACCATTCGCTCTCCTCCTCCTCCTCCTTCTCCTCTCTCTTCTCTTCCTTTTCCTCTTCCTCTTCCTCTTCCTCTTGCTCTCCTTCCTCTTCTGCTTCTTCTTCCGCTTCCTTTTCTTCCTCTTTCTCTTCTTCTTCCGCTTCCGCTTCCCTTTCCTCTTTCACCTGCTCTAGACAAGGCTGCGCCCGAGGCGGCACCTCTTGTCCTGTCGACGGAGGCGAGATGGGCGAAAGACAGTCAAAGGCCTCGGAAAACGCCGAGACGGCGAGCAGGCGCATAGAATCCCAAAGAGTAAGACCCGGTCGGCAGAAGACATTGTTGCCGTGAATGCCATCCGTCAGTCCCTCCGAAAGGTCATTGTTGTAGTGGCCAATAGTCCTGCGAGCACGAGCAACCTCGGCGGCTCTTCTAGTGGGCCCCTTGACTGCGATGCCACGGCAATTGCGGACAGGGGCGGAGTGATTTGTCCTATTAATGCTAATATTAATATCCTGGCGATCGTTCACATAGGACATCTAAACGTTTTACATGCACTCATCAGGGTTGCTTGGCATTCGTGGACGAAAGCTGCTCAGAATGACGTCGCGGAAATGGGCTCGTCTACCCTACACCCGTTTCTGTATGTATATATGTGTGTGTGTGTGTGTGCGTGTGCGTGTGTGTACGCGAATACGTGCGTGTAGATGTAGAAATGGATGCAAAGCTGGACAGGGATGAGCGTTGTTGCGTGGAGAAGCACTGTGTCAAGTTGGAACCGAGGCCGATGCACGACGTCCTGACGGGTGCGCACCCGCCTGGCTGAGGAAACGAAAAACAGGGTGTCGAATTGACAGAAGAGGCGAGCCTATTTCACTCGGGCAATGTCCCCTGTCAACCAATCAGCTGCCGGTTGCCTGGATAATCTCGATTCAACCGGCCAATAGGAAGAATAGACCAGGTATCGATCATTCAAACAACCAGAACCCCAACTGACCAATCAGAAAGAGGGGCAGATCTTCTCTTCACCTCGCATTGGATGCAACGTCGACCTGCCTGGACGAGGCTGAACGACAGGCCTGTAAGACTTGAGCAGTCTATTTAACGTTGATACAGATTCAATTGCTGATTTGTCTTTATTCCGCAATTTATAAGCGATCACGTCAAAATACTCTAAGCTCGAATCAATCCTCAAAAGACTGTCTCAACTTTTGGGTCCAGCAAAAGCGAAGAGCTGAAAACTGCCTTAATTTATTAGTCATTAAATTCGAGCTCACCGACAGCCCATCGGCCGTCGGCAAGACGAACTGCATCCAGTGGATACCGAAACGAATGCATGATGATAAACGACTAGCGTTAAGCTGGACATCACAACCCAACCTAGACTCAAAATACCTGTAACCGAGGCGTACCATGTTGCACCTCACCCTCACGCACACCCACATTGAGTCGACCTCCGAACAGACGAACCGATACCTTTGACTCGATAAGGGATGAGTTTGAGATGGCCGAATTTTCCGGCAATTCAATTGCCATTTCTTCATCATCTCAAGAGAAATAGGCAAAATACAGTTCTTGTGCAAGGTCGACTGGTGGTCTTGAAATATGCTTAAAAGGAGACAAAAATAGGAAAGAGTTGCCGATTCCGCAACTGTTGGGGAGGTGGGCCAATTCGGCACGTCGAGCTGCAAATTGACATCCACACAATCGTCCTTTTAATCAAGAAGAGTGCAGCCGAATCCACCCGGACTGCAAACCAATGAAGATGTCCTAAATATACCTTCATATAAGTCCTGTTTCTCTTTGGGTCTCCATGGCATCTAGTTGGAATTCATGAGCCGCAGTAGGAGGCCATAAGAATTTAGCGTGTGCCAGAGAAAGGTTGTTGATGTGGCGCCTCAGAAATTCTCATTTCGTGCCTGACTGGCAAGAATGCGATGGCTCAGACGATGGATCTTCGTCCACAGACGACAGTAACATGGGCCACTATTCTGCAGGTACGTACAGGGAATCCTAGTGGCAACTGGCGAAAAAGATACGAAGAAAAACTGGGTTTCGATGAATCTGCTGAGATAACATTGTTAGAGGGACCTTCATTTCGTATGCAAGTGCATGAAGAAGAGATTCGTTGGTCGATCTCACCAGATGAGGACGGATGAAACTCGTTGGTGAGACATGCCGACCTATTCGACAAAGATTGGTAAAACACAAAAATGCTTGCAAAGGTAGCTGGATCCAATGGTGAGAAGTGGCCGAACACATGGTAGAAACAGGACATGAAATAGAATGGTCTCAAACTAGTAGGTTTGCTGATATGTACGTCTGTGTTTAAAAGAAAGATAAGAGAGGCTATTGAAATTAATAGCTTAGGAAATACGTTGAATGCGTGTTTAAAAGGAAGATAAGAGAAGCTATTGAAATTAATAGCTTAGGAAATACATTGAATGTGAGGAACGCAATGGTTAAAAGAAAGATAAGAGAGGCCATTAAAATTAATAGATTATGAAATACGCTGAATGTGAAGAACGATTAAAAGGAAGATAAGAGAAGCTATTGAAATTAATAGCTTAGGAAATACACTGAATATGTACGTCTGTGTTTAAAAGAAAGATAAGAGAGGCTATTGAAATTAATAGCTTAGGAAATACGTTGAATGCGTGTTTAAAAGGAAGATAAGAGAAGCTATTGAAATTAATAGCTTAGGAAATACATTGAATGTGAGGAACGCAATGGTTAAAAGAAAGATAAGAGAGGCCATTAAAATTAATAGATTATGAAATACGCTGAATGTGAAGAACGATTAAAAGGAAGATAAGAGAAGCTATTGAAATTAATAGCTTAGGAAATACATTTAATGTAAGGAACGCAATGGTTAAAAGAAAGATAAGAGAGGCCATTAAAATTAATAGATTATGAAATACGCTGAATGTGAAGAACGATTAAAAGGAAGATAAGAGAAGCTATTGAAATTAATAGCTTAGGAAATACACGGAATGTGAGGAACGGTGGTAGAAAGTTGAGTAGGAATTACTTATGCTTTATTGATAGATTGACAGAGAGAGAGGGTGTCGAGCCGATATCCAAAAGGAGGCGACTCAATTTGTCTGCTCGGTGATGGTTCTAACTTCACTCACACTCGTCCAACATGTTAGATTAAGCTCATCAACCACACCAGACGTGCCAGTCATGCCTTCCCTTAGAGGGTTAAACGTTAATGACCCTAAACCGAGGGGTTAGGACAAGTGGATTCGTAACTTGACATACATGCTTACAAACTCATATCTCATTATCTCAATAATACTTGCTAACGGACATACGCAGTCTCGGTCAGGGCTTTCTTTGAGTTCATTAGGCGTTGATGATCAGAGCCTAACTTTAACCTTT